CCCCAATGAAAGAATAGACCATTCGAAGCTTTTACTTGTTGTTAAACAAATGTTTAAACAATTCTATTCAATTATGTACCAGCTGCCTAGTGTCGGCTAACAATACAAAGAATTAAGTTGTGGCAGAATGCTACAAGTTCTTCAAATACCTATAGAATGATAAGTTTATTTTTTGTGAGCGTAAAACACTTAAATACACCATTTTGTTTTTATGCTAGTTGAAAATTAACAACTAGATAATTCTTATTGTGTAATTTAATAGCAGTTAATATTTTAATGCTTTCTGTTACATATTTTTATGCTATCTCACACATTAGTAGTGTATTGGTAACTATTGAATTTTTTGTGGAAGCTGGTAACCAACAATATGTACCTTTTGGAAATTACAATCTTTGTTTATCAGTCAGTAAAGGGGCATGAGGTTTTTCAAAACATGCCACACAATGGTAGAGAGGTTAACATTGTTTATTGTAAAATGTACAAGTTTGTTCCAAAACAGAGTTCTAAAATAACAAAATAATGAACTGTATGCTGGCTGGTCAATCTACATCATTCATTGTGTCAGTGGGTTTCAGAGCACTAATGGATATTGTGGGATGTGAAAAACTGGTAGAAAAGTTGTGAAAAGTGGTTATAAAGAACTGTATGAGTTGAGTGGTCTCAATTGTACCATAGGTTTCAAGGCTATGTATGTTTAGATATTAAATGATATGTGGTAAACAGGCAGAAAAGTGCATTTTGCATTAGTTACTCTTTCATGAACTTGAAGAGGGGTGTTAAAATAATGATTTTTTCTTTCCAAAGAATGTACAATCTGAAAATATACAGGCAAGAAAACATTAGCATAGGGAGGAATGCACTAAGTGACAGTGCACAGTCTACATTCAGTGTTCTATGAGTAGCAAGATAATGGAAAAAAACTGTGGCTTGTAAAGCAAAACAAATTATACATCATTTTTCAATGGGTGGCAAGAACAAGTGACACGAGTATGATTTGAGGAAGAATGTTGTAGCTGAGAGCACTGCATCTCTCACTGATCCATGAGTAAATTGTTTGCTGTAATATTGTGTTTAGAGAGTGGGTCTAAGAATTTTGACATTTAAAAAAAGCTACGTTCTGCAGTCTATCTTAACTTGTGTACCATTGGGTTTCCAGATCAGAAGCCAAAACCATTTGAAAGAGACTGTATTAATGAAGTAGTTTTAATTGTACACTGTTCCTTGGATTTACAGAAACTGTTTAAATATGGTTTTTAGAAAACAGTTTGTACATTATACATCATTCACTGTGACAAAAATATTTGTACGGGAAGATATCCAGCAGGAACTTTTTTGCATTCTTTTATTTATGTTTTGAAATAAGCAGTATGAAAGTCAAACACAATTCGAATGAATGTAATTGGAAAATATCACATGTAATTTGAGCTGAGTACTAAGTGACAGTTCCAAGGGTTGTGCAGGCACTGAACATTGTGAAGGCTGGCTTTACTGCAGGAGATAGAAGAAAGCTGCTTTATTTGTGGTTGTATACTGTCATTAATTTCCCATCTTTTGGTTTTCCTAGGTACACCATATGATACTTTATTATAAACTTATAAACACATGATTGT